CTGTTACACAGCACAAAACGCATAATTTTGTACTGCTGTTACACAGCACAAAACGCATAAAAAAGACAATTCTTTGGCCAGTTTCCGCAGACAAAACGCGCTGTTGCTGACTGAATGTGCACAGGACAGGATTTTACAAAATACAAGTGCGCCCAGCGTTTGGATGCATTCCAGTACCTATGGCTGGCGTCAATTTCCATAGTGATTGTTCGGATACGGTGCCGCAATCTCGAAAAATTATAGATACAGCAAGCAAAATGCTCCTAAAACCAGAAATTCGAAGAAATTTTGCTGCAGTTAATGTCAGTTTCTTTCGGAAAAATTTCGCAGTTTCTAAAAATAGCCACTAGTCAATTACTCCTCAAATAGCGATACGCAATTGCTACATGCTGATAATGTAATTTCAAACATTTCTCGAAAAATTTCCAAGGAAAATGCGAAGATTTTTGGGGATGCTGACAAATTCTGGAGTTTCCTAGAGACAACACTGAAATGAATTGCCAATGGGCTTGAATGGGAAAATAGAATTTTCAAAATGAAAGAAAAGCCAATGCTGGGAAGGCTTCGCGACGTATTGGATGTGTGCGTAAGCTGTTAAGCTATGTGTAGAAAAAGAGGGGAGCTGGGAAGAGGGAGCCAGGGGAGGGAGCTTCGGTTGCTAAACTATGATGGCATAGTTGTGTGACAGTGACAGGTGGTGCCTAGCGCTGCAGGAACGGGAAATATTTCATCTGAAATTATTAGGTAAGCATGCCTTTCAGGCCGTTAAAGCCTTTTACGGGTATCCTAATTTCACGTTTATCCTCCAGATCCCTCGCTTCTTTCCACTTCCCTTGCTATGGTAAAATTTTAGATATCCAAGATCAGTTACGTATATTTTTAAAATCCTGGAATGCAAGCCTTTGCTTGTTGATAGGGATCCCCATCGCTATGCATAAAAATGCAAAAATGCATAAGAACAGTTGAAGATGGCATCTAAGCAATCATAATTTTTGATATTTTGAGATTCCCGGATCCATAGATTCGGTGTAACTTGACGGGGAACCAACAGGCTGCCTTGAAGCGCTTTCTTCTGGTGATCTTCCCAATGGTTACTCGTTGTTCGTCAGCCGCTGCAGTTCCAAATTAACGTATGTGAACTTGATGTTATCGTTTACAGTTCTAGCAGTGCTCCGAAAAACGTAAAATTTTCAAACCTGAAGCTAACAGTGCCATAGATGTAGTAACTTCTTTAAAGTAGCTGCCCTAGACCTTCCATTCAAGGGTAGTTATTTGGCGTTTAATCAAACTGTTCGCATCATAATCAGAAGAGGCGTAATAAAGAGCGAAAAAAGCTTCACATCGATGTATTTGATGTGCCAAAGAAATAAAGCGTCAATGCCAGAGAAATAAAGCTTCCACATGGCTGATTTCCGATTTCGCTTCCCACAAATTTTATCTTCGACGTGTCCGTACATGCGGCATAGTCGTAGGTGGAAGATAAATTTGAATTTTCGTGCACGCGCATGGCACAAGAAACATCAGTAGAAAAATTTTAGCATCCAGTCTTGTCTGGCTCTCGAAATCGTTTATTGAAAAGCTTTTGCAATTCCATCTTTCATAAGCCAGAAAGTAGAAAATAGATGTGCTTAAAATTGGCTAATTTGTCGACACATGCGCAAAAACGTCTTAAAATTTCAGCTTCCTAGCTACTTTGGTTGCTCGATTAAAATTTAGTTAATGGAATACACACAAACACATGTACATATGCACATACGTACACACACACACACACACACACACACGCACACACATATACACACATACACACACATGCACACACGGTTCACATTTTATCAGTAACGCAATAACTCGTATTTTTTGATTTATGCTTCATCATGACTTAGGAGATGCAACGTTCAGAATAAGGCAGTGATGCCCAACACCCAGCAAGGTTACCTCAAAATAGCTTAATCCTTGCCAAAAACTTCAGTCCAGAGAGTCGCTGAGTTGAGGATTCCTTCAGAAAACAGAATAAAAGTTAAGATTGCCAGCTAGTTGACCATTAGATGATACAGCACTGGTCATAGCAACTGGAAAAGTTGACAGCTCCACAGTTCCAAGACAAGGTGGTGATTTCAATTGATCCACGTGCGCTGATATAGCGGTGTGTTGACTGTTCCTCATATTCATTATCAAAGTTTCCTGATCGAACTATTAAGTCGAAAAAAGCATAGAATATTTCTTGATTTGAAGCTCCAAAAAAAGTATACCAAAACATACCGTCGCTGTCAAATATGTCATCGGAAGTTTCTAAAAATCTTTTTCTTCAACTTTATGGCAATTTATTGGTTGTGAAAGGACATTAGCACCCGGTGTAATTCAACAATCGGTACACACCACCCGGTAGCATTGAACAATTTTCAGTTTTTTTCCGAAGAATTTGATGGCAATTTTTGTATCAACGACACTTTGATAAGCTGCATTTCACTGCCTGTTACTACAGCTGCGAAATTCACAGCTTTTCCACTTGCTTTGACCAAAGCTGTATCTTTTAGTGGTCAGCTTGTTAGCAGTTTTGAAATGTGGAAAAAGAAAGTTCAAATATGGAAAAAGAAAGTTTGAATTTGGTGCCAAAAATTTTTTTATAAAAAATTTTCTGGATCTGAGACATCGTCAAGTGTTAAATTTCGGAAAAATTTCGTTTGATTAATGGATATTTCGAATTGTTACTTTACAAATGAAATACAATGCTGTCTTATGCCGAGCCATCTTGACAAATTATTTTTCGAAAATTGCAAAAATTTTAGAATAATTAGTTCAAATGAACACAAAATGTGTAATACAGCTGTTGGGACGCATTATTTATCACGGTGCACCAGTGCCATGAGTAGTCACGAAACAAGATGATAAACTGCTACTTTTATAGGTGTTCTACTATTCGCATTCGCTTTCGAAACGCACAACTTTTTAAAACTCAAAAATAGCCCTGCATTAGGTTTAAGATACCGTTATTAGCCAATCGACAAGGCCGAGTGGCCAAAAGTAGAGGCAAATAAAATATTTTACAAAAAGAATGCGGTAAATTTTCGTTTTTCAATAAAAATTTACGGTATTTTCAAAAATTTTTATTTTTTAGCTTTGTTGTACGTTTAATAATCGTTTACTACTAGCTACCTAGCAAATGATTAAAAATTATTTTCAACAAAATTCTCAAAAAATTATGAAAATTGCCTATCTTGCCAAAAAATCTGGCTATGCCGCTATTATCTGAGTACCAAATGCGTCTTCACATTTTATTTTACAAAAGAAAATTGCATTCGAAACATCCAC